GAAGTACGTACGGATGCTGAAACTTGCCCAGGCCAAAGAAATCGAGGAGCGCCAGCGGCAAGCAGAAGAGGAGTGTGGCACCAAGAGTGCCACAAAACCACATGCATGGTCATTGCGGGGAAGCTTGCTTGTAGCAGCACAGGGTACTTTATGAAGGCAGGGAGAGTTCAATACCGACCCCAACATTTTCTACTCCTGGGACCTTCAGAAAGGCACCTCTAATTTTCGGAACCCCTCAGTTAGTTATTGCCATTGCCGAAGTGGAACTTGCTGGGGGCTGGAAATTTGAAAGCTTCAGGATTCCAAGCCCTAAGCTCCGAGCTCCCCGGCAAGGTAGGGAAAACCCCAAGTTATACACCGCGAATATGCTATATAGTCTGTGTTATTCTTAATTAAAGCTAGCATTCTTGTTTGGTATATGCCTACCTAACCCTAGACCATAACCCTAAGCCTACGCAGAGAAACATTGTCTCACAGTATACCCACCTGTCTACAAGTGGCCAAAGTATGTCATACTTATCCTGAACTATCAAGTAAGCCCTGCTGCCTGGTTGTGCTAGATGACCTAGGAATTGGCTATAGAAGTGGCGCATATGGCATGTTTTGAAGCCATGTAGCTAAATTCCCAGCCCATCTACCCTAAACCCAATAACTACAACCTCTCTTTAACCCTATGTATCTAAAACCTTATATATCCCGCAGACCATCTAAGTGGCGAGGTTTGTGGCAGGTTCCACGGAGAACCGGAAGAAGGCCCGGGATCTGAAGCTGCTAATTTGATTGCTATTCACTGTAGAGGTCAGGAGTTGGCGTTTAGGGTTTAGGGTTTAGGGCTTAGGGTTCAGGGTTTAGGGCCTAAATGATTACCAATCTAATAGTCGCTTTAAAGCGTGTTCTAGGCGACAGAGAAGGTTTAGGGTTAAGGGTTTAGGTTCTGGGACTTGGGCTTTAGGATAAAGGGAATAACTGGCAATGTTTGAAAGGGTTCGGGGCTTAGGGCCTCAACCAAGGCAAAGAATTGAAACACATCATCGGTTTTTGTAAGGCTTGCAGCATAGGGAAGCCTAATCAATTACCAATATTGGAGTCCTAGCTTTCGTGAAGAATGATGGAATAGTGTACCTCAAATAGACTTCACCGCAGAAATAGTAATCATTCGCGCTACGGCTACTACACTTCTACAACAAGCTATACTTGAAGGTTGAGCTCACTGAGCAAGCGCTTGCTGCACAAGCTTCTGCCACAAGCAGCCCTCAACCCAGCCAACCCAGCCCTAAAACCGTGACCCTACACCCTAAACTCTAAACCGTACATCTTGAACCCTAAACCCTAGACCCTGAATAATTAGTAGTTTCCATTTCATTTCCCATTGTCCCCATACACCCGCAATATAACACTCGAAATCCCAGACAACATGAGTGAAGAACCCGAGGGTGTAGGTTTTAGGGGTTTAGTGGTTTGAGGTTTAGGGGTTTAGGGTTTAGAGGTTTTGGGTTTAGGGGTTTCTGGCATCAAGACCTAGGGGTTTCTGGCATCAAGACCGCGTTAGCTGGCATGTACTGCTCCATCTTTGACCTGTAGTCTTTTCAGGAACTATTTTCATTTTTTCATTTAGTATAGCCCTGAGAACTATTAAGGATAGCATTTTAATTATCGGTCTAACAAGACTACAGAGACGAGGAGGTACCACCATCAATGCTAGATACAGACAGCGATGAACCCTGACATGTAAAACCCACGACTGCTCAACCCCTCAGCTACTACACCCTCAACCCTTTCAATCCCCCGTGGACCCTTAACCCTAAAGCCTAAACCATTTCAAGTGCGAAGCAAAGGCCACGGATATGGCCCCTACCTGTTTCCTGGGTCCTAGCTACAGGCTCCGACTCGGGCTTGTAGGGTTTTCAAAGGTATATAAAAGGCCTACAGGGGCATATAGGGTCCATACTCGGGGCCCATACGTTAGAACCTGCGACCCTAATCCTTGAACCCTATTCCCCTGAACCCAAAACCTTGAACCTCAATCCCTGAACGCAGGCGCCCAAAATCGCCGTGCGCGCACCTGCGGCACTTCCGGAGTCTGCGGAGCCTGCAGTGGCCGCAGGCCAGGTCGTTTAGGGTTTAGGGCTATTACAGTCCCCAAATACATATGGGACTACTGTAGGGTTATATAGGAATAATGGAAAAGAAATGGAAACTACTATTTAGTGTTTAGGGTTTCAAGGTTTAGGATTTAGGGGTCAGGGTCTAGGATTTAGGGTTTACAGTTGAGGTGTCCTAAGGACCTAAATTATTTCGGATGTTATGGTCAGGGGATATGTAGGGTTAGGATTTAGGTTTTAGGATGTAGGGTTTAAATGCTTGGAGATTGATGCAATAAGGTTAGGGTTTTAGTTTAGGGTTTAGTAATAAATGCTTAGGTATAAGTAGGGTTTAGGAGATTTCGGGTTCATTTGGGGTTTGGGATTCTAGGGCTTACATAGAATGGTCATAGAATTGTTGGGGCTCATTAAGGATTTGGGGTCTTTGGGCCTCTCTACTGGCTTTAGGGTCCGTTAAGGGTGCCGAGTTTAATGTTCCAGGTTTCGTGTTCATTTGAGATTTAGGGCTTCATTTAGGACTTGAATAACCTTTTAGAGCCTTTCCCTCTTTTTTTTAAGGTTTGGGGTTTAGGATTTAGGCGGCAGCAACACCGGCAGCAGCAGGGGCCATCGAATCTTAGCCGTTTGCAGAGTGATCTTGCAACATTGGGTGTTTGTTCATGTTTTGGTAGCAAGTGGAGAGCTGGCCAGATTGAGATTTCTGTAGTACGTACCTGGCCTAGCTATGGGTGTAGGGTGCACGGTAAGGATGAAGTAGGGATGAAGGGCTTTAGCACTTCTGAGAGGGGTCTTGGTCATTTTCTGCGAGAGGTCTGGAGGAGGAGCGTTGTGCCGATTTTATGTTTTGTGAACGGTTATTCGGTTCGCCACCATCCTTTTGTTGTTAAAAATCCCGTACCACTTTAGTGTATTATCGCACCAGAACGGGTGCTGAGGGTCATGTGGCATTTCAAGTATCAACCGTCCCTCAGTCGGTTTGTAACGTTGTTGCTCTCACTTCTGTCTGTCGCTGTCTGGGCATTGCAGCATGGCATTTTTTGCCTACTTGCGTGAGATTCCTGATTCCCATCCGGGCAAAGACGGCATGTTGACCGGACAGCAAAGCACATCACATAATTTTTTTGGGAGAGAAGTGGGTGGCTGGCAGATGGCTTTCGCTTTTAGAAGAATCATCGTTGTGATACCTCGTCTTCAAGAATGTTTTGGTGAAGCTGGTGCTTGTGTTGTTGCTGGTCTCTTGAATTCGGGCAACATCCCTATACGTCACGTCAGACAACTTCATAAGACAGTAGTTTCCATTCCGCTAAACCCCTCCCCCTTCCTCCCCACAGCAAGCCCCAAACCCCAAAGGTCACTCCCTAAACCCTCAGCCCTAAATTGGGAAATGGCAGACCATACTTAAGCCCTAAGCCTCATATAGTCGACAGTAGACCATACACCATACCTAAACCCTCAATTCTCAAGCCCTAGCCCTAAATAGTAGACCCTAAACCTTAAAATCCTTAATAGTAGACCCTAAACCCTAAACCTTCATCCCCCTAAACCCTAAACCTTCATCCTTAATGGTAGACCCTAAACCCTAAACCCCTCCCCCCGTCCCTCCCCACGACAGGCTCCCTCTCCGCTCTGCTACGGCTCGCCGGCGGAGCGCCAGCCCCGTCCGCGCCAGCGCCCGAGCGGAGCCGAAGCCCACGGAGGCCAAGACTGGGTTGCTGTTAAGGAACTTAAATTAAGTTACTATAGGGTTTAGGGTTTAGTATCCCCCTATAATGGAG